CTGCGAATCTAAAACTGCTCTGAAGAAATGCAATCCGACTTTGCGGAGATGCAAAAGGCAGGGGACGGGGATGGGAAAAAAAAGATCAAGGTGCGATACATGTTTCTCCAATGAGCCACGAGGAAAGCCTTCCTTCTGCATCGCAAACATATCCTACTTTAAAAAACAGGGGAACGAAGAAAAAATGAATCTGTAGTGTAAAAAAGCATGAAAGCAAGTGTCCAAGGCATTGGATTCGGGCAGGGAAGCCAGTGCGGGCTGAACAAAGTAGTGAACCGGGAAAGGGAGGGGAGGCGAGGCTTGGTAGAGACACACCCTGGATGGCTGAGTTTGGTCTCAGGACCGGGTCCTGTAGGCCAGAGGGGCACGGAGGGCTGCCGGACAGAGGACTCGGGAAAAGAGCTGACTGCTTCAGGAAGATGCCTCTGGCCACTGCACTGCGGGGAAAGCTCTGGAGGCTGGACATCAGCAAACGCTCATTTAGGAGTGGGAATAAAGCACAGGTGACCCCCCAGACCCATAAAGAAGAGGGCCTGGTGTAACGGTGCACACTTTCGATCCCAGCCGCTGGGAAGGCTGAGGCAGGAGGACTGCAAAGCTAGCCGGGGCAACGCAGTGCAATCCTGTCTCAGAACAAAATTTAAAAAGGGGCTGTGAAGGTAGGTCAGTAAAGCACGTGCCCAGTATACGTGGGGCCTTGTGTTCAACATCCAGCACCACTCGGTACCACCCCCCCAAAGCGGGAGAACATAAACAACGGGGGAACATAGCTCAGTTTGGGTTCCTGGACATAGGGATGAGAACGATGATGCCAAGAAAATCAAACACCAGTGTCCAGAGGCTGTCCTTATTTCACATGCTAGCATTAAGCATGGACTGACTCACTGTCATGGGCCCGGTCCTTCCAACTTCCTCTCCGGAATGCGTCTGCTCTGTCTGCTGCCTGCCTGTTGCCACCCATTGCATCAACTTGCCAGTATTTCTCTGCTTAATTGCTGCCTCTCCCCACTTTGCTGGCTCCAAACCATCATTTTAAACAAAACTTAAGAGTCCCTTGTCTTAGTTACTTCCGGTAGACAAACTCGAAGGAGGCTTTGGTGTGGTGTCCAGGCCTTCCATGTCTGCTTCCCTCCCTGTCTCCTCCTCAGCCCGGACTGCAGCTTAGAGAGAGTTCCTCTCTGAAGCAGGTCACACCTGCTTTGCTTTCTCCGTTTTACTGCACATCTGTATATAACTGCTGGACATATTTCCTCTGCACAAACAATGTGCATTTTCACTTGTATGTTGCTTATTTAATACCTGTCTGTCCCTGGGAGTGTTCGTTTGAGGCACAGCCGAAATCTATCTGCACCTTCACTACTGTGCTCCCAACAAGTGGCTCAGGCCTGAGATGGAGAGAGCTGTGCCCAAAACATCGGAGTTTTGTGTTGTGTTGTGTTGTTTTGTTGTTTGAGACAGGGTCTCACTAAGCAGTTCAGGCTGGCCTTGGATCTACTCAATGGGCGCGTGGAGTTCATCAAGAAAAGGGGGAGGGGGCTGGGGATTTAGCTCAGTGGTTTCACCACCTGCTGGGCAAGCGCAAGGACCCGAGTTGGATCCCCGGTACCAAGAAAGAAAAGGGGGAGAGAGGAGGCTACAAAGCAGACGTGACACCAGGTGATTATAGACCTCATCTGCCAGGCTAAGAGTTCTGGTCCAGTCTAGCCAGGCAGGATGGTGCAGACCTGTAAGCTCAGCACTCGGGAGGCTGAGGCAGGAGGATTGCCATGAGCTTGAGGCCAGCCTGGGCTACATAGAGAGGTCAAAGCCAGCCTGTTCAACATGGCGAGACCCTGTCTCAAAAAGCACAAAACAAAAAGAATTTCGGTCTGTAGGCCAGAGGCAGTGTTGGTAACAACCCAAATGAGAGCATTTTAAAACTTAAAAAAAAAAAAATTAAAATATACAATAAAAGTAGAAATAATAGTACAATAAAGACTTCTATAATTGCCACCTAGATTTAACAATTAACATTTTCTTTAAAAGATAGGTAGGCAGATAGATGTGTGTATGTGCATTTTAAAGTATGTATTACTAGGGCTGGGGATTTAGCTCAGTGGTTCCACTGCGTGCCTTGAAAGTGCAAGGTCCTGAGTTTGATCCCTGGTACCAAAAAAAAAAAAGTATGTATTCCTAGCTTTGGCTGATTTTGTTCCTTTCTTTTTCATTCTTTTTTGCTGACTCATTTCAAAGGAAACTACAAACAATATGATTCTTCACTCCTAAGTACTTCAGCACATTTCTCTATATTTTGTTTTCCTTCATACCCATCATACCATTACTACACTGAGCAAATGCAATAATCGCCTAATAACCTCTGACACGAGTACATTTTTAAATTCCAACAATCCCCAGAATGTCTAAAAGGCCTTTTATACAGAAGAATCCAATCAAGCATTTGGCTGTGTCTTTTAAGGTTTTTTTAGATTTAGAACAGTCATCCCTGCCTCCTTTTTATGTGGATTTTCCTTGGTCCCCTTGAAGAGCCAGCTCTCATGACTCTTCTGTGAAATAGCTTACAGAATGCTGCACAGGCCCGATTTAACTGTCCCCTTAGGGTGTCCTTCAGCTGGCTTCTCCAGTCTGTAAACTGGAGATGAGATCTAAAGGCTTGATTACATTCAGCTTCAACATTTTGGGCAAGGAAACTTTATTAACTGATGATGTGTATTTCATGCTACAGCACAGGGACCTAATAAAAATACTGACAAAAAAATTAAAAAAAATAAAAATACTGTCTCAGGGTTAGGGATGCTAAGGCGGATAACTAGATTAAGCTAGAGACAGCCAGACTTGCCCGAATTGAAAGCACAGTGTGTCTTTCTCCTTTGTGACCCAAGGAACATTTGGCAACATTACCCGTAGTTACAGTTGTTTCCCATTTTTAAAAAAATCTGCGCACGGGCGTGCACTTAGTCACAGCAGGCCCCTCGTACAGTTTCATTCCTTTTAGACTTGGAGTTTAAGCACTTTCCCAGTCACAGAGCCAACAAGGAGCAAAGACACCACTCGAGCATAAACGGGTTTAGTCCCCGCTTTAAAAAGTCAATCTCAGTTAACTTAGGTCACACTCAAGATGTGCGGAGAATTCTCTCTCTGGAATTCAATACATATTTCTCTCCATTTGAAATCATTTTCTAAGACGGGATGTTTTTCTGTATTTCCGTTTTGGTTTTTTCCGAGGAAAACTCGTTTTAGAGCCTCTGAAGTTCGCTACTCTATCGCTTCTCCAAACTGGTACGACCAACAGGTGCGGAGTTCGCGAAGCACCGAGCTTCGGGGTGATTTGTAGTCACAAGTTACAACGTCCGACTGTTACGCCCGGTACTGAATTTGCGGCTTTTTTTCACGACGTGTAGACAAAGCCAATTGGTGAAAAATCACGATTTCCCGTCTAAAGTTAAGGCTGTAAAAGTGCGTCTATGGCGCCAAAACCAACTCGGGCCTTTGGGGCTGGAAGGATGCACAGGACCGAGGCCGGAGACGGCCCGCAGTCGAGAGAGACGCGGCGGCGCGACCGAGAGCGGGCCAGGGAGGGACGGAGCCTCGGGAAGAGGCCCCACTCGGGGTGAGTAGGGAGGCCCGACAGCGAGGGGCCCGACTCTCCCGGACAAGACACCTGAAGCGCTTCCTTCGTTCAGAAGGGTACTCCACACCGCGCCCGACCCGGAAAACTCCCCGAAAGGGCCGCCTAGCTTCCGCCTCCCGTAAGGCTCCCTCAAGCCGGAAGCAGGCGGGCACGCCTCAGAACGCTGTTCCTCGATTTCATTGGTTATCCTGCCTGCCCCTCTCTCAGTAGGTCTCTTTCATTGGTCAGCACCGCCAGGTCCGCTTTCAAACAATTCCCGGAACTAATCATCTGCAATCACCGCCCCTCCTCTCCACCGAAGTGTAAGTGACGTTGGTGCTCACCAATAAGAAATGAACTGAGGCTGTGAAGGCAAGACTCCTCCCCTTTTGCCTCAGACCGTTCAGTGAATGGTAGAAAAGGTTGAGGCACTGATGTCAACCACCAATCCCGAAGGGCGGAAGAGGACGGCGAGAAGAGTGATGGGAGCGGGTGACGTGGCAGTGACAGAAGCATATACGGAAATGAGTGGCGGAAACATGAGCCAATCGGCGATCAAGTAGGCCGGGCGCTCTGCATTTCTCCGTCCTCCCGGAGAGCGAAGAGACTTCAGCGAAGAGCCAATGAGATTGTAGCAAGGTCTGATTGGCCGTCGTACAGACCAATCCGAGGCGCGGCTGGCGGGCGCGCCCCGCCCCGGACTCTCACTGGGTGGAAGGGGATGACAGGCCCGAGAGAAACGCCAATGTCCGCGGGGTCCTCCGCGAGTGACGTTCGGTCGCGCCAATCGGCGCGCTCCTTCCCGCCGGCCGAGCCCTCCCCCGCGGCGGCCGGCGGGGCGGAGACTCTGCGCGGCGGCGGCTGAGGCGCTCGGCGTGTGGGGCGCTCCGGGCGGCGGCGGCCCTCCCAGGCGGTTCCGGTCCTGCGTCTCCGGGCGGCGGCGGCTCATGGCGGCGGCCGAGCTGAGGGGAGTGGTGGCGCCGGGTCCCGCGGCCCTCGC